TTTTTTCTAGCCAGATATACACGATTGATGGGAGGGAGGGAGGGGGGTTGTGTTGTACTTTCTGCACAGCTGAGTGAGCATGTCACAATCGGCCAGGGCCGCCTCAATCAAAGTGGCATTGATACCCTTCGCCCGTTCTCTCGATCAGGCTCTCGCGCTCTCTCCATTGCGGTTTTGTTCGAGACCGAAAATCTATTAGCCTACCAATCTATAGTGTACACATATTTTCCACTACACATACGTCGCTTCTATTTAGGATGGAAACTAATTTTAATATCGATTAAAACAAAAAATTATTGCTCGTATTAATTCTCGTAAGATAACTTCTTTTCTTTTCTTTTTTTTTTTTTTTTATAATTAAAAGATATTTACTCGTTCATATACTCGTCGTTTCCAAGATATTTTACATTATTTCATTTTATTTTTAAATTTAAAATACGCGATTTTCCAAACTTTCCCCAAAATCTCTACTTAAATACGTGATAAACAGTAATGCTAACCGAATCTTCTAATTCCCTGGATCGTTCATTTACTCTACGCCCAACACGATCTACCCACAAACCGAGCTAAGAGACGTAGTTTAGGGTGGCGCTCGATGTGACACGCGACCGCAACGTGGTTGCATTTACATTATATCGCGGTTTATACGATGTTGCTTGGATGCGTGCGTGCCGTGTATCGAGCCAACATTTTCGAGATTAATTTTTTTAATGCTTTCGTCGGACAAGTCTTGTTCCACATTGAAAATTTATCGCGACACGACTAACACACTGACACAATCCCTTCCCCCCTCCCTTCCAGTTTTAACCGCGATGCGAAAACCTTCTTTATCGCGCTTAAATTTCCATCGATTCATCCTATTTGCATCTTCAAAGATATATATCGTCGTACATGGCGAAAAAGATCACCTGCTCCGCCCCGAATACGCGAAAACACGAAATAAAATTTCCTGGCATCAGTCTCTTCTCTCGAACAAATAAAATCCATTCTCTCAACGATCGTAAATAACGCCCTATGGTTATAACATTTGCGCTCAAATCCGGAACACGCGGATTCGAAAAGGTCGGAGAAAAATAGTTAGCTGCAAGCCCCTCTCTCCCTCCTGCTAGGCTTTTCCTGTCACCCACGCGTAACCCATATCCTCTCCTCCCCCTCCCCCGAAATAAGAACGAAAGCTCCGAAGCTCCGAGTTTGTATCGAGAGAGCCCGTAGGTTGAGCGCCCCTGAGCACAAGATGTCCTCCTGAAGACTATCTCGGCCTTGGTCCCGCGGGAAACCTCTTCCTTCCTACCGTTCCTATCTCAGGACACTCTATAGCCTATTCAGATACCAGGCTCACCCTACTGCTCCCATGTTAGCCAGCTTGCGTGGAACAGAGAGAGAGAGGGCAAGAGAGAGAGAGAGAGAGAGAGAGAGAGAAAGGGGAGAAGGCAAAGCGCGAGAGAGAGGGAGAGGGAGAGAGAAAGAGCGCGTCTCTGTATTTCCAAGGACAAGCGAGACACGGTGTACAACGAGCGGAGAAGGTGTGTGTATATATACAAGTACGTGGGCGAGTATTCGAGTGCTCTTATACCTTACAGCCTCGCCACACCTCGTAGGAAACGTATTTTGCAAGCCTAAATATCCTGGCTTCCCGAGTCGCGGAGCCATGCGCCGCTATCTCGTGCAGGTGGCTACCTTCGAGAACGAGTTATCGTGCTCCCTTATTTCGCAGATCGTTGGGAAGGACGATAGCTAAAACGGGGGTTGGCTAAACTGATATCCACACCCATTGACGTTTCTTCCTACGAAACACGATTCTACGGTATAATTATAGCGCGCTATATATATGCACGTGCTATGTATTAAGTCCTCGTCGATGTTCGAGGAATTCGCGTACGGAACGGGGGATTAAAATTCCTCGAGATAAAGATTAGCGTGTACGAAGAGTGGAGAAGAAATGAATTCGTGTAGGGGTTTGTTGTAGGTTGACTCACCGGTCGATGATAACGGGATCGCTCGGGGTCTCGTTCCTGTTTCCGCAGCTCTTCTTGTCGCAACACCGGCTAGAACAAAATTAGACGGATCGATGAGAAATTAGTATGCACGTAGATTTTGAAAGATTTCTTCGAGGTCGAGGGGTTGTGCGGATGGGTCCAGTCGAGGGGTCAGGAACTTGCGCCAGGTCTAAAAACTATCCGAACCCTTGGGACTTGGCGGCAAGTTCGGGGGTGGAGAGTCGTCAGCCCAAAGTCCCATGGGTCAATGAGTCAGCCACCCCCGGAGAATGATTGCATCCCCGTGCGTCTCGTTACGTTTATGGTTTGCCACCGCAAGGGTGGTTGCTCGCATGAACACCGGATATTTTTGCTCCTTGTCCATGCGTGTTTGCATTCGGTCCAAGTCTTATCGCTGAGGAGGGATCACGAGCCGCGTATTTGACACACAAATCTCTGTAAAACCGTGCTTCGTTTCGTACGATAACAATTTCCTTTCGCGTGTCGCGTGTATCGGAATTCGTTTATTGCCGAGAATTACTTTCAAAATTATAATCGTGCAAACCGATTATGATGAGAATGCGATCGATTTAGGATCGTTTATTAATTCTAATCGTTAATGTTAATGGGTTAAACTCACCTGCACATCACTTCGTGAGTAAGAAGGACCCTACACATTTCAGGATTTTTATCTTGTCCCTCGTACATGATAGCCTGAAATGAAAGAAATAATTATTACTCCGCGTGCGTGATCGGAGAAAACGCGTTAGAGAACTATCCGCGCGGTTGTAAGTCGAGAAGGGGCCACTTCCCCTGGAACACCGCTAAGCCATGGTCGGCTTAAGCAAATCCGTTAAGCTTCCTTCGCGACCTTCCGATTGATTTTTATTTAATGACAACGCGTCGTTACCTTGTATTCATACACTTACAGTTGGGGAACGAGATAAGGATTAGCCAGGGAATAATAAAACGCGGGTGTTTTTGATCTCGGGCGAAAGAACGAAATTTTCTTCGAACGGGACACGTTAACGTCAACGAACGCAGGAAACGATATAATAAAATTCGACGATCGAAAACGAAATGAAATTACTTGCTTATACGATAAAAAACGAATTCGATATTGGAAATCTGAATAGAGAACGTAACGCATCGTTATGTATCTCGTCGACGTGAGCAACTAATCGAAAGCGATTCCGGTTACGAATGTGGAGAAAAAGTCGGAACATTCGTATTTCTCTCTACACGCCTCAGACGCGTAATCGTTAATCGTATCGCAAGGTATACGTGTAATTTATGCTCGAGTTGGCTGGTATTGCGCGTAACGACCTAAATTGCTAGAGTTTGCGAAGAAGCGATAAAATGTAAATACTTTGAAATACAGTGTCCTAGGGAATTGGTTGGGTTGACGTCGGCTCTTTGAATAGCGGAGGACGACCATAGGGGAGGGGGGAGAGGGGCTAACGATATCAAATACATTTTGCCTCGGCGGTTAGGTGTGACTTTCGGAAACGGCATCAAATATTTATACGAACAAAATAACCGAATTGCAACGTAAACGAGGCGCGATGCTTGTATACGCGGCGGAAGGTAAATCAGAGGAGGAGGATCCCCCCGTCGAAGTGGAAATAGAGGGGCAAAAATAAACACGAAGGTAGGAAGGAAGGAAGGAAGGAAGGAAGGAAGAGGGAAGAGAGGATGGAAGGAGAGGCGAAAGAAGGAAAAGAGCGGTGCACGTTGTTCCTCGATAGAGGAGAACGGAAAGGAAGTATAAAACGTTTCGTGCCCCTCAGCCGTTTCGACTTCTAATCGTTGGCCAGCATGCGATCTTATTTGTATCGTGAATAATTAATACGAGTATCCGTCTCGTACACATTAACCCCTGCTCTAAGACACGGAAATATTGTTATTAGTTACTTAATCAACTAACCATATATTCCTAAAATTTCGGTCAATTCGGTTCTATTAAAGATCACGTATCTCGAACCCGACATTCGTTCGTGTTATCGCGGTTAAACGGTTCTCTGAATCGCGAAATAAATATAATTTGTTTAACCAATAATTACATATGTATATTTAAAATGATAATTGGTTATACGCGTCCAACACTCGCGCGCAATAATTTTTGTTTGTACACGTATAACGATCATCATTCGATGGGTCATGTACACCATCTGATACGACATGCGACATTATTTGCCCGGTAATCATCGTCGTAGCTAGGCGTTGTTGATTTTACGTATATCTATTCCACTTATGGACAATTTTCAGCAATTAGTTTTTACCGCGTTGCTCGTTCTCGCGAACCACTCGATAAATTCTCGTTTTTCTTTTTTCTTTTTTTTTCATTTCTATCGAACCGATCGAATGCATCTAAATACTTTAGATACTTGTTGTTGAAATTACGCATAATAGTACTTTAATAACATTTTCCAAAGAAATTTCTATATTTATTTAATTCATTATTTCATTTCGTCGTTATACGTGCAATAATCGGTGTATAACATAAAACTTGTTAGGTAATTCCACCGGTAATCGAAATTTGATAGTATCGCGTCAATTAATATCCTAAACGAGATTGAAACGTAATTAGATTATTAACGATTTTAAACGCGTATTTCAAAATTACAAAGATTAAAAATAAAAAAGTGTCTTTTTATTTTCGAGCGGCAAATCAAGTTTCGAGTGTTATCAAGTATCTTAGAGAGATGATTCGTTCAAGCAAAGTTTGCAAGTAGTAATATCGTCAAATGTCGTCCTGGGGGTGCGACCAATCAACATCAGCCCCTTGGAGGCCTTTCTTCCGTTGCTTCAGCTCCCAACAGAAACGATTTGGTCCTCCCTGCCGCTCTCCAATTCCCACGGGAATTACTTACGAAGGACTAATAGCGATAACATGCTAGCATTGCTGGTTTTTAAATATATATACGACGATACAGGTCCATCTATGCACTCGTTCGATCGAGGCAGAGCGATCGTTTAATATCTATTTTTTTTAATTTACCAAATAAACTAACGTCTCAACAATTGCTGCTTCATTATTATAGTATTGAAAAGGTATATCGGTTGAAATAAAAAAAGATATGGGAAAGAAAACGATGCACTCGAAAGTAATGGTAAAAGCATAACGTTATTCACGACGAGTGTTCAAAGATGGCAGTAGAACGAGGAAGAAAAGAAATGGGAGGAGGACGTACGTAGATAAATACGAAGATAGTCATTCAAATCTGCCGTAATGATTTCCATCCCGAATCGATTCCAAAAGTCCCCTGGGAATCCCCCTCCATACCGGTTGTGCAACCCCTGTCGCCTCACGTATACACCATCGAACAACGCGCATACAATGTTACTTTCACCCCTGAGAAGAATGTCCATCGCTTAGGGGACAGGCGACGCGCTCTCTTTCTCATCTTATCTGCCAAGGATTAACTTATCTCGAAACTTATTATTTCCTTAATCTATAGTTAAATACTCATATTTCAGCATTACATTGAACGACGTTCAAATGGCGATACCGTGATTCGATTCGGCATTATCCTACCCTTTTCGCTCGCCAATACGTTTCATTACTCTTTCTCTCCTCCTCCTCCTTCTCTTCAAGAGCACGCGTGTTTTTTAACGACCAAGATATTTCTTCGATACCGATAATCGATTTAACGTAACGAATATGACGTACGTAACGCCGTCGATCCTTTCTCGATTCCTTTCTGAATTCCCATGGGCGGTATTTCGTGAAAAAAAAAGAAAAAAAAAAAAAGAAAAAAGAAGAAAAGAGAGAGAGAGAGAGGGAGTTCCGACTGATCATCTCCAGCGGCGGATGGAAGTTGGAGCTTAAAAGGGTTAGGTACAATTTCCTGTTGTTCATTCATTTAAAATAACGACGGTACGCGGTTCGCTGCTTCCTCCACCATACCTGCGTCCTGTAAATGCTTTTTTATCCCCGGAACTAATTACAATTTAGCATTTTTAATCCTGCGAAAAAGCGCATTCCAGCCCTCCCACCTTCTCTCCTTCCCTCTTTCCCGGAAGTTCGTTCTCAAGCGCTTACAAACGTACGTTGTTAGCGCCATTCAGCCGCGGCATCCACGCCACTCTTCCCTCTCTTTCTCCGTGGAAGCTGCTCGTATTTTTCTGGAAATTTCAACAGAGAAACGCGCACCAGTTCTCGACATCCTGTATTTTTTTCCCCCT